GGGAACGGTTGCCTCCACCTAAACCAGAGCCTAACAGGACACGTACATAACCAAATACATGCACGCAGCAAGCAGCCAATCACAACCGCATTGACGTGCCAATATCCAAGACTGCTGCCAGGTGCAACGTGAAGCGACCGACTAGTGGCCAGTGAGATGCAAGTGGGTGCCGACATCCGGGCCTAACAGGGGTGAATTTTATTGCCACCAGTGCTGCCGCCGCTGCACATGCCTGGACCAGCCCCCAGTTCATTGTTGTCGTGGCCATGCTAGCGGCTGCTGCACCAGCAGCCAGCGAAACGTTGCCATCAGAATCATTGTGCTGCATCCCTCTCGTACATGTGCTTTCATTCAAGCCAAGGCTGCGTAAGGATAGCACCCACCACCCAAAAGCCACAAGCCACAAGGAATCAGCCAGGCGAGTGATTATAATCAGCCAGGCATTTACATTCATACTTGTTGAAGTCCCCTTACACCACCACAGATTGCGCGTCACGTCGCGCTATCGGCAAGCAGGTATGTATGTTGTTACAGGGTGGTTAACTTCGCCAGCGGCCCCCTTTCCCGGGGCAGTCCCTGCTCTCCCCTGCTAGAGGGGCACCCTAATCCGTCACCCCATCCGACTTCAGAATGTATTCGTTGGGTTCGGCAACTCACCACCAGCATCCAACCAAATCTAGCGGATCAACGGCGCATCAACATAGTTCCTGGTCAGCTCGCAAGTTGATATTATCACGTCCTACACCGTCCATAAGATGGGGGGCCACCTCCCATTTCATCACTCCTCAAACACCCGAGGAGCCGGCAGGCGGATTTGAACCCGGGTCGACTGGGTCGACTGGGAGCAGAAGTCAGGCCTTAACCTCTGCCAGCCGCCTGCCTAGGTATGTATGGTCACACAGATATGCATGGTCACACAGATGTGTATGGTCACACAGATATGTATGGTCACACAGATATACACTTCCTGGCCACATGCCCGGGAAAAATAAAGAGCTAATGAGGCGGGCATGCGTTGGCTGTAGATGTGGTGTATACGTATTTGGCCCAATCGTCGGGGGTGCGTGTGTACGCACGTCCTGTACGATTTGTACGTGTACGGTGTACGGTGTACGGCAAATTCTTGCCACGCGCGAAGCTGCATGTCTGTGTGGGTGTGGCGCAGTGGTTAGCGCGTAGGTCTCATAGCTGTTATCGTGCTGTGACTTGGACTATCCTAAGGTCGAGGGTTCGACACCCTCAACCCACAACCGCTCGTGTAGCTCAGTGGAAGAGCACCCGTTTAGTAAGCGGGAGGTCTCGAGATCAAAATTCGACATGAGCAGCACATCGCTCTTGCGCGGGACATATCCGCTCTGGCTTTTTCATAACATGATCCATCCTGGTGTGTACGTGTGCGTGTATGTATGTGTGTGTACGTGTACACGTTGGTGCATGTGTACATGGGGTATTTGGTCGTAGCTAGCCAGAACATGCATGCCGGGACAGCACAGCAGCAACACGAAGGCGGCAGCATGGAATTATTCATCCCTTGCTTGTGCCTGTTGCTGGTCCCTGCCGTTGGACACGTACTCGTAATACACGAAATGCTGCAGTCAGCCGTGTGTAGCCTTTTCTAGGCGTTTAGGGTTTCAAGGACCCTAAAAACCCTAGAAACACTAGCTATCACCGCAAAAAGCAGCTATTCAATGACTAGCATCGGTTGAGTAGATCGGTGAGGTTTTGGTTGTTGGCTGTGACCATGGATGGCACTCGTGCATGCAGGATCTGCATTTTCTGAGAGACACAGCGCGACGAACACTACAAATATGTAGCACATGTAGCCGACAGGGGAACG